GGAAGACATCTGAAAGGAAGAAAGTAAGTTTAGTTTAGATATAGGGATAGTCCTTAATAAAACAACCAAATGTAGTATTAAGGCTAGGATCCAATCACAATATATTATAACCTAGAAGAGGGATGCCGTAATCCAAGTTATAACATAATTGAAAGGTAGGTGAATGACGATTCACCAATTTCCACCATGAAAACGAAATATAAATTATTAGGTTTTATTTGGCTTTTAGAAATTCCTAGATTCTTTGAGATTCATTGAACTTTTCAATGGCATGTTTCAATCTCGAGTGTGCCCTTCATGTTTTGTGACTGGGATACCGAGGATCACAAAACAATGTGTGAAGTAACCATGCAAATTACTTGGTACCCTTAATGTTTTTCACTTAATCGTTGTGCCGGTAAACCACATGCGCTCCTTCCGACCTCATGAAAAACCTTAAGTCACCCTTTGCCTTCCTTGTTAAGTCCAAGTTAGTGTGCCGGTAAACCACACACGCTCCACCAACGACTTAAACAAGGTGCAAAATGTAATTTCATGGATTAGCACCTTATTCACATTTTCCCTAAAGTAACTAAGATTAGGAATTTATAAAATACTTAGTTACTTTATAATAATCATTATACTTTTAATGATAATTTATAAGTCCTTGTCTTACCCGTTCGGCTAACGACCCTCCACCAGTCAAGCAAGCGGTGGGTGAGAGTAGACACCCATTAAGTTGCCATTTTATAGGCAACAACCTTATACCCACCTTATAGACCGGCTTCGTGAATGAGGCGTACTAGCGGTAAGACGACTTTGTTCTTATACATACATACATACATATATAATATATATATATAATATATATATATATATATATATATATATATATAATTATTAATCATAATACTATAAGTTAAGTTGAATTTTAATTTTTTAAAATTCTAAGGGTTGGAACTAAAGTTTTAATCAAGACTTTACTTGTTCCAAAACTTGAGGGCAAGTTTTGTAAACTTTCAAAACTTTTCATTTCTTGTAACTTATGAGTTTTTAGGGTATTTAAAAACTGAAGACTCTTCATTTTATAACCCATGAGTTCTTTTAATGGTTTTAAAGCAAAGTGACTTTTGGTTTTCCATAACTTGAGGACAAGTTATGACTCCATTAAAACACATAAAGATCATGAATTAATCTACCACATAGGTTACAAATAATTCCTATGATCATCTAAACATCATAAGATCAAGAACATGAATATGAATACTTTCATGAATCAAAATTACACTTAAAAACTTGTAATTTTGATAATTGTTGTTGTAAATGGATTAGCATAAACATTACACCATCTAAAACATGTTTACACAAACCAAAACAATTTAGGGTAATGTTTCTAGTCCATTTCCAGCAACTAAAATCGAAATTCTGAAACTGCAGCTTCTACTCGTCGAGTGCATGAACTGACTCGGCGAGTAGCTTGCATTTGGTCATGGACTCGTCGAGTCCCCCATGGACTCGGCGAGTTCATACGGGCAGAAAGCAGAAAACTCGATTTTTTCAAGCAGTTTGCACAAAAATCAACAAGCAAGCCTAGGCTCTGATACCACTGATGGGTTTTGAGCATTCTAACACTTCCTAAGTGTACATGCAACCCTAATAACCTTGGATCTATGTTTGTTAATTATCATGCAAAGTTGATTTCCAAGGCTATGATCCTATCTAGCATACATGGGGAACAATTTTAACTTAAATAATAGATAGAATTACATACCTTGTTGTTGTGGGTGTTCCTTGAAACCTTGTGAGCCTAGCACCCCAAGTGTGATGCCTCAAATGCTTCACACAACACCAAATGCTATGGAGTAAACTTGGAGAAAATGTATAACACTCAAAAATCGGCTCTAGCCCTCTTGTTTCTTGTCTAACCGATTTTGGGGAGAATACATGAGCTTTATATAGTGTTGACACATCTAGGCTTACACCCTAATGTGTCATGACTCTTTATTTCCATGACCCATGGGTTTATAACTCCCATGGAGCCTCCATGGACCATCCAATGGGTATAACCCATCTTGATTATCCATGGAGCCTCTTAGCCCACTATATAAGTTATGGATGATTTACATAATCAATCCATACATTTAATTAGTTTCCTTTTGATCACTTAACTAATTCTAAATTAATTCTTGATCAAACTAATTAAATAGTATTATTAATATATAGAACTTATAATATATTAATAAACCATATGTGTTATTTCTCTCATTTAGTTTATCCAATTGCATGGTGTCATGCAACCCAAATGGATCATGCCGGGTCGGGTTAAGTATTTACCAGAAATAGTTATGAACTTATACACCTTATCCAACAACTAGTTCTAATACCATAGTCATACGCTTAGAATCCTAAACACATAAGTCTCCAGTTCCGTTTGGCAACAAAACCGTAGATCCGAACAAATCATATAATATATGGAAAATCATATAACATTTAGCACATAAAAGCATTTTAGGCATCTTTTCTAAAATAAACTAGTGCTGGAGTCTAAAATACAACAGAAACACATATCATAATCTTCACTTAGCATTCTATGTTTAAATCTAGAAATCCTACAAATTCCTAGTTCGCTTAAACTAATGCTCTGATACCAACTGTGACATCCCCGAAATCACGGCCAGAAAAGACCGGTTTCATTTATGCTTTTAAAATAATTTCAGAGTAAATATATTGATATAAAAGAGTTGTGGAATTTGTCCCCAAAACAATACATGGTAAAATAAGGTTTATCAAAGCATTTCTTAATGAAACGTATTTTTATTATATAGCAAAACTCGGGATGTCATGTTCTGATACAGACACAAAAGCATGAACAACAAAACATAGACCTTACACAGTTACATACAACTACTGGCCTATAAACAAAATATCTCCACAAGTTATCCAACTTAGGCTCTCGCACCACCACCTGTAATACAAATAAAACAAAGTGGCTCAGGCTTGGGAGCCTGGTGAGCATATATGGTTTTCAACTCATAATAAATAATTATATTTAATTTTCAGCATCCAACAATAACCCAATTACCCATTCCCGTTATCCCCACTTTACGTCTCTATGCCAACAACTATTACATGAGGTACCTAATCTAGGATTTTCATCGGGCCGGACACTACTGCAAAGGGGTTTCCTCAACAATAGATGTCCTAAAGGCAACCATGAGTGGGATAGAGTACACCGGTGAACACATCGTTCACAACAGCTACAGGTTATGAGCCTGCTAGCGTTCCACTTGACTGTCTAGAAAGAGTCCATGGTCGTCATCCATACTCTGCTAGATGACTAAGTCAACAACAACATCGAGGCCTCTCATCAATTTATCACACGTCAACTATTAACCCATGTTCTAACCCAACATATTCTGTAGATAACAATATATAAACATACATTCATATATAAACTTAAAACTTGATGAGATATTCATTCAATACACATTCCAAATAAACAGATCACACACAGACACACACACACACACACATATATATATATATATATACACACACACACACACAGCCCGTACTCTATATGAGATACTTCATAGTTATGTGTTACAAGAAAAGGGAAGATACTCTCACTCGAAACATATACTTAACACATACAACAATACTTGTATTAACAATCGTCTTTATGAAAGAGAATATGCACTCACATGATAAGACAATGATCAGACAACACCTCGTTTCTTAAAACAATTGTTTTCGATAAAACCAGGATGTTTTCCTAAAAACCGGGATTCACGCGGACAAATTTTCGGCTTGAAAATGTAATTTTCTCGGGAAATTCGGAGTGTCGGGACTTGCTTCGGGTGGCGGGATGATACCGGAGCTTCGGGGGTGTAACTTGCATGTAAATTGAGAGAATAAGGGTGAGAGAGAAGAATTTGAGTAACTAAACTCGGATGACCTTGTGTTCTATTTATAAGGTGCTGAGCATCAGATTACGTTGGGCGTAATCTTAGAGTATGCGGTGCGTACTCCCTCTACAAGCATTACGCTGGGCGTACACCTGGTACGCTTGCGTACTGGCTCGTTGACATGTACGCTGGGCGTACTAAGCTGATCAGATCGGATGCGTCATGGTCTCGGACCCGATACACTCGAGTGATGGAGTAGGGCGACCTAGCCCAATTCAGCCCATGAATCATGAGTACGCTGGGCGTACTCCCATTTCTCAAACTTCAAAAGTTCGTATCTTTCGCATACTAGCTCTGTTTTTTACGTTCTTTATATCCACGCTTAGGTGAGACTATGCTCTCTAACTTTCAAAAGCAGAAGGTATCGCTTCTTTAGTATTTCTTCCATTTAATCTCTTTGAAACCATCAATGTTGGTTTTATATATATATTTTAACTTCAACCTACATTTATTTTATTTTATTTTATTTTATTTTATTTTTATTTTTTTTTGTAAATGGTTGATGGAAATTTAACTTATATAAAATTTTATTTGGAAAGTATTATATTCATGTAATCTAATTTTTGTAATTATATTTCATATTTATATCATCCTTATATATATTTTTTATTTTTTACTTATCCTACAAAATTTTCGAATTTACAGTTTTTTATATGGTAATTCGTATCTTAAATTATGTATGATTTTATCTATTTTTGTAATTATATTTGACAAGTTATACTGTTCTTATTTTCTATAGCATACCATACATAACACATATTTTAAGTATGGAAATGATATTGATCTTTTATATATATATATATATATATATATATATATATATATATATATATATATTACTTATCTTACAAAATTTTCGAATTTATAGTTTTTTTTATATGGTAATTAGTATAATAAATTATGTATGAATTTATATATTTTTGTCGTTATATTTGATATGTTATATTGATCTTTTTTTTCTATAGCATACCATACATAACACATATTTTAAGTATGGATATATATATATATATATATATATATATATATATATATATATATATATATATATATATATATATATATATTATTTTTTACTTATCCTACAAAATTTTTGAATTTACAGTTTTTTTGTATGGTAAGTAGTATCTTAAATTAGTTATGATTTTATCTCTTTCTCAGATTTGCTAGCCAGGAACTTTGACACTTGTGTTGCATTTGGTATGTTGTTATGTTATTAGTTAAACTTATTTTTATACTTTTGTTTTTAATGTAATACACATTTGGATTATTATTACTAATTTATTACATTTTGTCACATAGATTTTCTTGGTGAAGTTGTGTCAACTGATCCCATGTGAGTCATTGTTGAGTATGAAAGAGAAAAAAGGTTAATGAATCTGGTTGCTCAGGATTTCGGTACACATTCGTATTATTATTACACATTCCGATTTTTATATTTATCTTTCATTAATAACCACCATACATTTTTAGTGGTACAAAAGCTGCAGTCGCTTTGTTGGACAGTTTTGCATTGAAGTTGAATACTTACATTTCACAACATCAAAATGAAACTGATCCGATTATCATCCTGCTACGTTTGGCCAAACTCAAATTTTAGGGTGGTAAGGATTTTTTTTCAACAAATTATCATTTCAACTTCAAAGCAATTACTGCAATATTATTTTACTTTTTATTTCCAGGTTAGCCTCAGGATGGTAATTTTTTGTTTGGGTCTAGATTGCATATAAATGATGATATGCCTCGCATTTTAGAGTTCAAATGAAAGTATGTTTTTTCTAATAATTATGAATCCTATAATGTTTTATGTTTTTATATGATAACAACTAGAATCATTACCATAAATTAGTTATTTACCATACTTAAGACATTTAACTTACTAAATCATTACTTTTCTTTTTTAACCTCATTTTTTTGTATATGTAGTCTTAATGCTTTGGATATGAATGTTGAGTCTTCTAGTCGTACATCACAGCTCAACTCAGATACTGTTGTGGCTAATCCAGATGATTACTACCTCCGTTTACAAATAAAAAACATTGATGAGATTGTTGATTTTAACGAGGTTTAGTTAACATTTTTATATAAGAGCTTCTGCATTATATTATTGTTTTGATTTTATATGTACAATTCATATGAAATAAGATTTTAATATGATTCTCTTCAAATAATGTATGAAACAAGAAGTTGGTTTAACGAGGTTTAGTTAACATTTTTATATAAGAGTTTCTGCATTCTATTATTCTTTTGATTTTATATGTACAATTCATATGAAATAAGATTTTAATATGATTCTTTTCAAACAATGTATGAAACAGGAAGTTGGTTTAACCATCATCGATACTATCATTGGTTTTGATATGGATGAAGGCTGGTATTCATTTTATTGTCGTGACTGTTCTAAAAAAGTTACTAAAAATGATGATGATGTTGATACTGGTCCTTTTCACTATGATGGTTGTGGATTAGTCTCAGATGTATATGGAAAGCAATTAAGTATTAGCTCTTTGACTATGCATGTATTTTACCTTTTTCATATATTTCACTGTGTATGTAAAGCTAAATATAAGTATTATGTTATAATTTTTAGGATTAGGATAGTATTTTGTGTGCAAGATAAAAGTGGGTCTTCTTCGTTCGTATTGTTTGAGCGTCATGTAAAAGATCTTATTCATCGTGGAAACCAATGGTTGATGGAAAAAATAGCTAAGGTTTGATAATATATCTCCATTATTTAAATAATTAACGTATATGATTTTTCTTCTTTAAGTTTTCAACTATTTCGTTGTTATGTAAATTAGGATCAACGACGTCAATAGATACCTGATGAGTTCAAAATCCTTCTAAATAAAAAGTTTGTCTTCAAAGTTCAGGTATGCATGTTCAATCTGCAGAAAAACTATCGTGCTTACACTGTGCAGAAGTTGACTAATGATGAAAGGGTTCTTGTTGAGTTTTTTAAACGGTCACCAAATCTTGAACACCATATTATAAATGATAATGCTACTTCTATTAACAAGCCAAATAAGGTAGGAAACTGTATCATATATATTACCAAAGTCAAACCCTACGCCCTTTTTTCAATATATTTTTCTTTCATTTTACATGAATTTGTGCAAATATGTTATGTTTTTTTTTTATATTTTACTCTGATCAAATTTTTATTATTTTGTGTTTTCTACAGGAAAATACTGATGTTGTGCATCATGATAATATTGATGTTGTTGACCTTGAAGCTTTAACACCATCATCCAGTATGGGGAAGCGTCATATTCAGATTGATGCCAACACTAACTCTTTGGAGTGGTCTTCTTCAAAAACTGGTGTTGTTCCTTCTACCTTGAAGATCCCAAAGTTAAAAAAGTTGGACTAATATGAAGCCACCCAGCAACATTTTACATTTCATCTTCAATATGTTTAGAGACATTTTCTTTTTAATCTTTTGTGTGTCACACTTTTAATTGTCTGCTTATGGATCTTTTGGTTGTTTTTAAAATTTTATTCGGCTGTTATTTGGCGTGAACACGATGATATTCGTGCTATTTATGACAATTTCAAGTTATTGAACTATTTTCATTTAATGTATATTTTGTTTCTTCTTCTTTCGTTCATCATTTCATTTTATAAATTTATTATATGTACCTTATTATTCTAAATGAAGCATATCATATAATTTTATTATTATTATTATTATTATTATTATTATTATACATATATATATATATACACACACACACACACAGAGACATGAAAATTAATACATTTTTTTTATATATGCTAATTCATCTACTTTTATTTGTCTAAATGGAATTTAAATTTTATTTGCATAAATATACATCGTTTGCATATGGTAACAGAATAAAATCATAGTATAAATATTCAAAATGTATTTTTCTATATCGTATTTATTCCTACCATAAATATATGCAGAATTTACTATTTACATAATTTAAACCCTTTTAATATTCAATTCCTTAATTTAAAGTGTTAGGAAATCATTAGTGTGTGTGTGTGTGTGTGTGTATATATATATATATATATATATATATAGAAAGACCCCAACTTTCGTATTTTTGAAAGATCTAAACTTTCATACTTCACAATATTATTACTCCAAAACATGTTATTTGGATATTCATAAAAGCAATATTTTACATTGATAAAGAGATTACAAACTACTGGATACAAACCGACTATTACAAAGTGTTATATACTACATAACTACCTAGGATATTGTAATTTATACAAACATAAACTGGAGTACAAAAGTACTATTACAAACTATTCTAAATCGTTCAACAGTATGTGAGCATACTAGTTACTTATCACCTGCAATTGTTAAGCATTGATAGGGTATGCGGTGACGCTTAATGAGTTCAATAATAGATACAATATAACGTTATGTCATATATATACATCAATATGGAAGAAGCAAAGAGGAACAACAAAGACATATGTGAAATCATGTGACAAGCGTTCGTATCAATCAAAGACTTTATTCAAAGATATACTTTTCAATGCTTGATATACATCAATAAAACTTTGGCCCAAATGGCATAGAAGACATACAATTTCTGATTAACATCTTGTTATATTTCAGGCTTATAGTCGTGTCTAACCATTGCCAATGCCATAGAATAGAAGTCATTCTCTTATGGAGACATGCTTTACATGTCCAAAGGCTACGTGCCAGTACCAATGTGAATCTAAGTCCTTTCACTGATCACATGGTCAAAGGTATTACATTTCCTATAAAAATAGCGAATAAAATAACACGGGAAAATAACTCGGAATAATAACACTGAAAAGCACATAGCACATATAACACATAACATACAATTGTTCCTATATATTGAACTCACCTTAAATTAAACGGGAGGTTAAAATAGTAATTTGGACAACACTTCGGCTTTAAATATGACTTTCTATATTGAAAACCGGGAGCTTAATTGAAAACCGAGCTCTGTGAAGGTAGGGCTTCAAAACCGAAAAGATAATTTTTTCAGGCTTCTCGGGAGCTTTGGGACGTGTTTCGGGTGCTAAAATTGATATCGGGGCTTCGAGGAAAGTCAAAATGAAGAAAATATGGAAAAAGGGGTGAAAAGTGGCAATTTCTCAAAATTACCTGAGAAGGCTCGCAGCATCCCTATTTATAGGCGAGGTCCGAAGGTCGGCCAAGAAGGATGAGTTAGCAGCAAGGGACATGCAGCAACAGTAGGGGGAAGTAGGTGGCTCGCATGCGAGGAGGCGTGGAGGAGCGAGCTTCGGACACGCATGCGAGACGCGTTGGAAGTGTTGGGTTATGAGCATTCTAACACTCCTAAGTGTACATGCAACCCTAAATACCTTGGATCTATGTTTTCTCTATTATACATGCAAATATGAACATCCAAGGTATTATCCTAATCTAGCATACAATATTATCAATATAACAAGATAGAATACATACCTCTTGATGGTGCTTGTCTTCATGAAGCTTGAGTGCTTAGTGCCCCAAGTGTGACACCTCAAATGGTTCACACAACACCATAAGCACTTGGAATAACTTAAAGAGAAATTAGAACACTTCATGAAATCGTGTAGCCCTCATACATACACATAGTGTTAGTCATTCTCACGATTTCTTGAGCCATGGGTTTCTTTTATATGGTGGCTATTAGGGTTACACCATGTAACTCATGACTTTACCCATTCCTTATGCTCCATGGGTTTTAACCTCCATGGAGTATCCATGGGTCACCCCATGGACTTAGTCCAACATAAGGAATCTTGGATCACAAGCCCACATATATAAGAATGAATGATTTACACAATCAACCCATATATTTAATTAGTCTTCTTTTGATCACTTAATTAATTCCAAATTAATTCTTGATCAATACTAATTAAATAACCTTATTAATATATTAGAACTTATAATATATTAACAAACCTTAAGTGTTATTTCTCTCATTTTAGTCTATCCAAGTGCATGATGCCATGCAACCCAAATGGACCATGCCGGGTCGGGTCAAGTTTTACCAATTATAGTTATGGACTTAGACATTAATGCAACAGGAAGTTCATAGGTCTACGGTTCGGTTCAATCGGAAGGCTGCACATGTCGGACCTCGGACGTGACACGTCTCGGTGACGCAACTGCATCGTGCGAGGTGACGTGGCTTGGTACTATTCATGCGGAAATTCTCGAAAAATGTGCCCCAAACTTCTAAAACTCCTAACTTTCGCATACGAGCTCTGTTTTTGACGTTCTTTATATGCACGCGTAGCTAAAATTATGCTATACAACTTTCATTTAGACTTCATCGGCTAATTTTGAATTTAATTTTAAAATTATTATTTTTAACAGACCATGATAGGAAAATCCGTTAAAAATTCATAACTTCTTCATTCAACATCCGTTTTCGTCCGACTTTTTACCGTTGTATTACTAGTGACAAGACCTTCGATTCTTGTTTAGGATGTATCGGCCAAATATCTCTCAATCTAAAATTCGAGTTTTTAGCTGTCTACTGCTAATCTGAAACTTAAAAAAAATCATAACTTCCTCATACGAAGTCAGATTTTAGCGTTCTTTTTATCGAACTTCTCGGTTTAACGAATATTATGACTTTCATTTAGATGAATAAGGCTAAAAAGTAGTTTATCAGAAACTCACTTTTTACGTCTTTCGGTGCTGTTTCGGTTTTATCGCGGATCTTCGATTGGTCATAACTTCTTCGTTATAACTCGGATTTCGATGAGGTTTTCGCCTACATGTTTCTAAAGAGATTATTTACAACTTGCCATAATAAAATTTTACTTATTTAAAATTTTTATATTTTCGCTAAATTTCAGTATTTGGCTTTTAATTGGAATCTCATAAGACTTCCAATATTTTCTGAGTGATTCTAAACATAGTTTTACTTCATTTTTAGTAAAAACCATCTGTTAGAACTCAACACTCAATTTCGCATAGTATTTCACAATTTTATTCATTACAAAACACGATTTCAAAACGTGTATGTTACAAATACCTCCTCCTTTTGAGGATTTCGTCCCCGAAATTACATCGATTAAAATAAATGGGGATATTTTGCTTTTATCTCATTCTTATTCTCCCAAGTATAGTTGGGCCTCGATGGTGTTTCCACTTGACAAGCACCAATTCTACTTCTTTATTGCATAGCTTAGTTGTTCTTTCATTCACGATTTCTTCAGGCTCTTCAACATATCTTAACTTATTATCCAATTTCACCTTGGATAATGGAACTGTCTCATCGTAGATGCTCAAGCATTTGCGTAGATAACTCACATGAAACACATCATGAATACCTGCCAAATATTCAGGAAATTCTAAGCGGTATGCTTGCTTTCCAATTCTCTGGATGATTTTGAAAGGACCAACAAATCTAGGACTCAACTTTCCTTTCTTTCCAAATCGCATAAGGCCTTTCAATGGGGATACCTTCAGCATCACGAAATCACCCACTTGGAATTCTATAGGTCGTCTTCTCTTTTCTGTATAGGACTTCTGTCGATCCTGGGCCGCTTTCATTTTTTCTTGTATGATTTGAATCTTTTCGGTGGTGTCCTAAATCATTTCAGGGCCTCCAAGGATCTTCTGTCCTACATCACGCCAACATAACGACGTATGACATTTGCGCCCATATAATGCTTCATATGGTGGCATTTTGATTGAAGTGTTGTAACTGTTATTATACGAAAATTCAACAAGCGGTAAGTATTTATCCCAGTTACCACCGAACTCCAAGACACATGCACGAAGCATATCTTCTACTGTTTGGATTGTTCTCTCCGTCTGACCATCTGTCTGGGGATGATAAGTGGTGCTGAGAGCAACTCAAGATCCTAATTCACGTTGCATACTCGCCCGAAAGTGAGAAGTGAAGCGAGTATCGCTATCGGAAATGATCTTTAGTGGCACATCATGTCTTGCAACAATTTCATCCAAGTATACTTGTGCGTATTTCTTCATTGGAGCCTTTTCACACATGGCTAGAAAATGTGCACTCTTAGTTAGGCGGTCGATGATTACCCAAATGCTATCATGCTGTCTAGTAGTCTTTGGAATTTTGGTAATAAAATCCATGGACAACTCTTCCCATTTCCATACAGGAACACTAAGACGTTCTGGGGTTCCATAAGGCTTTTGGTGCTCTCCTTTGACTTGTAAGCATACTAAGCATTCCTGTACATATCTTCCAATGTCTCTCTTTAATCCAGGCCACCAATAATCAACTCTTACATCATAGTACATTTTACTTGTACCAGGATGTATTGACAGCTTAGACTTATGAGCTTCATCTAAAATCTTCTGTCTTAATCCACCATTCTTTGGAATCCATAGCCAATTCTTAAATACTTTTAATCCTCGTGGATCATCAAGTAAAACATCAACATAATGTACCATTCCTTCCTTCTTCAGATTTTCTGGCTTTAAGGCCTCAACTTGCCATTTCTCTAGTTCATCAAGAATAGTGAACTTCACCATAGTGTGAGTAATAGTATAACACATACTATTACGATAAACCTTCCTGTTAAGTGCATAAGCAACCACATTAGCCTTTCCAGGATGGTACATGATTTCGCAGTCATAGTCTTTG